TGAGAATAAGCATAGAATCACATACATAGAATCCGTCTGTCCGGGTGTCTGTCTGTTCATGTTAAATTGTAAACAAAGTACACGTCGCATTTATGACTCGAATGAAATGTGTTAATTTGCGTGTAAATTAGTTCAGATTTATATATATATTTTCGTCCGATTTAATGTAAATGGTGGACTAAAGTCACTAAATATCTTTCGATATGCAAAAAATTTGGCACAGCGTAATAAATTAGGTCTAGAATGATATGTGTGAAGTTTCCTGAAAATCGGTTCAGATTTATATATAGCTCCCATATATATTTTCGTCCGATTTAATGTAAATGGTGCACCAAAGTCCCTATATATCTTTCGATTTGCACGAAATTTGGCACAGCGTAATTAATTATCTCTAGAACGATGTGTGTTAAGTTTCCTGAAAATCGGTTCAGATTTAGATATGGATCTCATATATATTTTCGTCCGATTTAAGGTAAATTGTGCACAAAAGTCCCTTAATATATCTCTCGATTTGCACTAAATTTGGCTCAGCGTAATGAATTAGGTCTAGAATTATGTGTGTTAAGTTTCATGAAAATCGGTTCGGATTTAGATTTAGCTGCCATATATATTTTCGTCCGATTTAAAGTAAATGGTGCAACAAAGTCCCTAAATATATTTCGATTTCCACGAAATTTTTCATAGCGTACTGAATTAAGAGTAGAATGATGTGTGTTAAGTTTCGTGATAATCTGTTCAGATTTAGATGTAGCACCCATATATATTTTCGTTCAATTTAATTTAAATGGTGCACCAAAGACCCTATATATCTGTCGATTTGCACGAAATTTGGTATAACGTACTGAATTGAGCCTAGAATAATGTCTGGCAAGTTTCGTGAAAATCGGTCCAGATTAGATATAGCTCCCATATATAGTTTCATCCGATTTCATGTATATATATATCCTATATATCTCTCGATTTGCACGAAATTTGGCATATCGTACTGAATTGAGAATAGAATGATGTCTGTCAAGTTTCGTGAAAATTGGTCCAGATTTATATATAGATCCCATATATAGTTTCGTCCGATTTAAGGTAAATGGTGCACCAAAGTCCACAAATATCTTTCGATTTGCACGAAATTTGGTATAGCGTACTGAGTTTACTCCAAAATGATGTGTGCCAAGTTTCGTGAAAATCGGTTGAGATTTATATAGCTCCCTTTTATTTTAGATTGATATGATATATGGATATTATAGATATATGGCTGATAGGAACAAAACGTACTGAAATTAGTATAACCTAACCTGTGACAAGTTTCGTTGAAATCGGTTCATATTTGGATATACTCATGTTCCTCATGTTTGTCAGATTTACATCAAATTTTGTACAACATACAAAATTGGGCATAGAATTACGTAGTTGCGTTTTCTAGAAGTGCAGACATAGCCCAACGAATGACCTATTGATATTTGTTTGAAGTCCATTTACATACTTTTGTCCCATTGTTACAAATGAATGACATGTTTATTGATAATTCCTTGAAGCTGAGGTTTGCAAGGTTATAACTCGCGAAATATGAACATATTGCATATAATTTAAATTCAATTCTATAAAATGAAGTGTTCTTATCAAAATCTTGAAATTTTGGTAATAAATAATAAGTTGCGTGGAAGCTGTGATGGTGGTAATGTAAAAAAATGGGTAAAAATGTGTTGAAGCCAACGAGTTTTTTTGTGTTCGTTCCCGATTTGTGGCTAAACTACACAACGCACACACATGTGATCAGTGACTAAGTTGCAGAATACCCCATGGACAATATGGTTCTAATGTATGATTTTTCGATATAATCACTGCAACCACCCAAAATGGATGCTGACATTTTGAAGCCGGATTTTCGGTGTTTTTTGAATTTTTCTTATAATTAGGATGCGCATCCAGACAATAGAATAAACTAATTATAGGATCGTAGAACTCGTGATTCTGCTTCGTTTAGTGTATATCTCATGAATGTGCCCACTGTAGCTTCTTTGCAATTGGGTTCCAAAGACGAAAATTTAGTGCGTAAATTTTTATAAAAAACATATTTTTTTAGTCTAAAATTAAGAAAGTCCATTCAAATTCCGTGGAACCCCGCGTGATTTTAGTTTTTTTACGTGCCGGATCTAATGAGCCCATCCATGTTCAATTCCGCCCATTAAAACGGCGGATATAGGTACCTTGAATGTGGGAAAAACTGCAAAAACTTATTTTGACAAATTCGCGTAAATAATCGCGGTTTTCTTCGAATTAATTTTACATTCATTTATGCTTGTATTGTCAAATTCGCGAATCTGTGTGGAAATAGGTCAAAAATACATCGATACGCGAATAATATGCATATTTTATCCAAAATTGATTGTGGAGGCACATCCGCGGTTCTTAACCGATCCTTTTAAAATAGGTGTCCTTTTGCGTATTTTCATAGGAGATTACTAAAATCGGATGCGCATAAAAATCGTATGCACGTTGCGTGATTTTTAGCCATTTTTAGGGTTTTTGCATAGTAAAGTGCATCGAGTGGCACACTTTGACCGCTAAATTAAACATCGAAAAATTAATAATTATTGAAAGACATTGATTCGGTTTATACGAAAATCGCATGCGCATCAACTGATTTCAACTAATTCGCGAATTGCAAGCTTTTCAATATTGATAATTTTTATGTATTGTAAGTGCAATATATTTAGCCATTAATGACGTCGAAACTCTTATCAGATGAATCTGCCGATATTTAACAATCATCTAAAAGAATTTGCAAAAGAAAGCGTCGTATATTTTAGAAGATTAAGGCAAAACCGTATCCTCTTAAACATACTAAAAAATCGAAAATTCCAAAAAACATTTGTTTTAATTCAAAAATTAATTTATTTTATTTTCCGATATCTTCATGTTTCTATTTGTTTTTCGCGACTATTAAACCGTATTTCAGTGTGATTTGACTAGTATGCAAAGATAACAATGGTGTTTAAGCATTTGTGAAGAAATTCGCGAATTACAACGAATAGGAATTCATTTAATTTATATTTGAAATACAAGATTTAAAACCGCTATAACTTTTGTGCGCAGCATCCGAATTTGTGAACGCGAACATATTTCGAATCAGCATATTTTTCTTAACCTATGTACCAAAAATCAGGAATGTGCTCGCAAAAAAATTTTTCAAATTTTTTTTAATGGAATTTTAAAAGAATTTTGTAATTTCCCATATCCATCTGGGAGAAGACTTTTATTTCTGTCTGAACATTTTTATAAACCATTCCATTCTATTTTGAATTTATTACTTTTTCTGTCGCACGGAAATTAGATATGACTACTGTGAAGAAAATATGTCAATGTGTTAATATATTGAATCAAATTGGAGAAAAGTGTATTTATAATTGTTTTTTTGAATGAAAAAAAATATATATATAACAGAACCAATAATGATCTGAGGTTTACAGTTTAATACAAATCGAATCTACCTGAATATTTGAGGGGTATAGAGTATATAATGGTGGGCTGTGATAGTTGCCAAAACTTTGTCAATAGAACATGAACGATTTTGTTAAAAAAATTATAGAAATAAATAAGTTTATACTTAATAATGAGATCTGTATTTCTTAAAATTATTATACCCTACACCACAAGGTAGAGTGTGTGCATATTAATTGTGTTTGAAACACATCGAAATATTCACATGAGATCCCATTTATTCTTAATTGGAATAAAGTTCTGTGTCGATTTAGCCATAATCGTCTGCCTGTTTATATACAGCCCGCAATATTGAAGACACACGCAGAGAAAAAATATAGTTGAACATTTTCACCGCAATCACTCAATATTTGCTGCAGTCATACTATTCTTTCCTGAAGCATGTTTTTATTTGTTTCAACCACATCATTATTTCTGCAATAAAAATCTGATCAATATTTTGTCGGAACAATGTTGTTCATTAAAAAATCGTAAGTATGGTTATTTTAATAAACCATACAATTATCAGAGAAACTATTTCATAGTTGCCGATACAAAACATTTTTGCATCAATAAAGTATTTTATGGTTACAAACCATTTACATAGTTGTAAGCAATGAATAATAACATTGAATAATAACATTGTCACTTGGTATGTTGCTGTAAACCTTCCACGATTCTTTCTTCAGTTTATATTTGGCAACAATTGAAGTCGGTCGTACTAGTTTATTAATAAACGGGGATTTGTGAAATAAAACTATTTTTCATAGTGAAAAGTGTTTTCAAATACGTGCCATCCTTCACTTAATGTAATATATATATATATATATATATTGTATGGAAAGGAATTTTAACACAGAAACAATTAAAATGAAAATTATTGAAAATCAAAAAAATATCGCAATTTCATGCAAAATGTCTGATTTTGTATTCTTGACAATGTAAACTTGTGTCTATTCGGTGACAACAATAACTTTTTTAATGCAATCATAGTATGTTTTTAAAATACACTACATATTCATGTTTTTTCATGCATCTTTGTGTATTCGTTGGTCTGCAATAATATCATTTTTGAAATCAATCACGATATTTTTATTGCAACCATGTAATGGTTATTGTCACGCAATAGTTCTTCATTTTCAAACATACATGCATACAAATGTGTGCATTCCTTAATGAGAGTCCCGTTATGTTTTTTGCTTGCAAAAAAAGAACAGAATTAACTTCAGTTGTTCTGTTCTTTTTGTGTGAGAAGGTTTAAAGTTTATTAAAACAATTTTTGGTGATAAAAAGGAGATTATTTGTGTTAGCTTTGACGGAGTTAACAATTACAAATTGTTCTTGGATGAAGGTAAATATAAGAAGATTGATAAAACAAACGCAAAATGTGGAAGCAATCAACATTGTCTGTTTGTTTACGTTTTTATTTTTGTTGTGTTTTCATTGCAGTTCGAAAAAGCTACAGTTTAGGTGCAGATGTTGATGTAGATGTACTCTCTAAAGGATTTAGCATAAAACCAAGCTTTTTTTTCCGATTTTGTTAGTCAATTTATTGGATCTACCGATTTTGTTCTAGATATTAAACTATCAAGTAAGTATTAGTAAAAAGAAACTTTATTTCAAATTATAAAATTCTAATATTTTTTAAATTCTAATTTTCATAGATGCTGACGTTTGTGTATCCAATACGGACTCCGCTTTTGAAGGTGAATCTACAGATTCTGGTAGAATTAGAGAAACGCCATCAACAGAAAGTTTCACAGCTGCTCGCCAAGCAATATCCTGCATTGGAGAAGAACCATTCTTAAATTCCTCACAAGACATAATTGTGCTCACCACTGTTGACAATTTGGATTGTCTTCCATCAAAGCAAGTAAGTCTTTTCTTTAAGTATGGATTTCATTATAAGTACTTTAGTATATATACATATTAGATTAGTGGAAATAGTGAGTTTCTAAATTTCAACAATATATTATCTTTAGGAAATTAGCGCAATCCCTGACATTCACCAATTCTTAAATGTTAAAACGTTGGAAAATAAGGACCGCATTAAAATTGCAAAGGCCTTAATTGAATTTATTCTAAATAAAAACCCAAGTAGACAGTATGTATAAACGAATACAAGGATTTGACAAAATTCATAACAAATGTAATTTGTTTTAGGCTACTTAGAGAGGATTTTATACAATTATCTAATTCAATTGTTGAAATTTTTGAATCTGAAGTTAAGGAGACGTATTATGTACCATTTCAAAAAGGACATCTAGCGAAGGGAAAGCTTTACGATGCTTACAACAATAAAAGGAGTAAGCTTAGTGCATTGGGAATAATAAAACGAAAAGTCAAATCTCAACCCCTAAAGTCTGGTATGTATGTACAATTTTCCCATAACATAACTATATAATATGTTTTTATTTATTTTTTTTTCTTTTTGTCTTTACCTTAAAGCCACCAATAATTCAAAAAAAACCATCCGACGAATTTGAAATTAATGAAAACGAATTAGATATTCTAAAAACCGACGGCTTTGAATGGAGCAAGGTTGTGGAAATCTGGGAGAGATCACATTTCCTCAGACAGGAAGAACTCAAAAATAGTAAAGTACCTACAATTGAATATATAAACAAATACAAAGTTCTCCTCAGTGAAAAAGGATTCGAGTTGGTAAGCGACCTTGCTATACATCATTAAAATTTAAATAATAATTTAATGCTTCACATATGTTTTAATTATTAATTTACATTCCATTAAAGTTTAAAATAGATTACAACATCCTGTTTCCATGTTCGAAAGGTATTTATGAATGGAAATTCTATTATTCCAAATTGATTGCGAAGTCAAGCAAAATAAGAGACATCTGTGTTCAAAAAATATTAACATTAATTAATGGGACTGACGATGAAGGTAACTAGAGATATAACAACGAAATTAAAGTATAACCCAACACACATCTTTCTAACTATTACAGACTCAAAACTTGCGCTTTCCTTAATGATTATACCATATATTTTGCCAAATAGCAGAAAGAAGACTAAGTTGGAAATACAGGAGTCCTTCATTCATTATACTGAGGTAATTAATTTATATTGTATTATACTTCTTCAAAAATAAAAAACTATTATCTTTTAATTTGTAGAATATTCTGCAGGCTGATGACGAATCAAGACACCGACTAAAAAGGTTGAAATCTGAAACCCAGCCAAAAATATATTTTGTCGGTGACACCTCAAAAATTATATCCATTGCTTACGTTGACATTTGTGGGATCAGAATCAAACTTCAAAGTCCTTTACAAGCTGTTGAGGTATGCTTCCATTGTTTCATGACGATGAATATTAAATTCCCTGAATACTTGTATGGACATTTATCCAAAGAATTATTTTTGATATTAGTACGCCTTGGGATAACATTACTCCATCAATAAATACGTTGATAAATGACCTGCGCTCGGATACAGAGTTGTAAGATATTATTATCCCATATTTATTTTTAACAAATTATTATACACATACAGGGTGTATTTATATATATATATAAAATATTTTACATTGGTTTATTATATTTTGCAATTAATTTCATTTCAATAGAATCGTATTTTTAATTTAAAATTTTATAACCTAATACATTTTTATACGTAGAACCATAATATTTTTTTATATATACAGAATTACATGTTTTGTTTGCACTGAGTCGTTTACTGATGCTAAACACTACATAAGTCATTTAAGAAAACGCCATGGAAATATATCATCATACCCTTGTTGCTTTAGTAAATGCTATCGAAAGTACCATCGCCTAGATTCGTACAAATATCACTTGTATAAACACTTACAACATTTTGAAAGTAACGCACAGTGGGTTAGAATACCCTGTTTCCTTGGATTAATTAAAAAATTAAATTTTAAGTATCGCCAATATAAAAATTTTTGCACACGGTTAAAGTATATAAAATTCTACATCACTTGTCGTTGAAATAAATGTCAAAAGTGGTCTGGTGTTTTTGTAGTGAAACTTCAAAGTCAAACTTCATAGAAATTTTTGTGCCAAAAAAGGCTGAAAAAAGTGAAAACGTTCCCGTTGAAAATTTTATTTATTTTAAAAAGTATTGTAAAAGTTAAACATTTTTCAACGGAACCATAAAGTTTAGGTTATTTTGCAAATACTTCGTTAACATTTGAGTATGAAATTGTGTTTGGAAGTGATTAAAATTTAGGTATTTATATTGAAAATGCCAAAAAAAATTAATATTTTTATATTTTAAATGGATAAATAGTTATTATTCGTCCACATTCGTGTCATAATTTTTGGTTTATATTAAAGAGGACATAAATCTGTGTTATATTGCAAAATTGTACGCTGCCCTTTTGTGCCTTTTAGAAGCTATGCATTGTTTAATACAAGTGTTGCAGCAGTCAAATTAGCTAAAAGTCACATTGATCTCGTGGCTGGTGCTGTTGTTGAGTGTTGTGTTTTCTTGTTTTTCATGTTATTTTTTCTAATTATTTTATTGTTGTTATTTTTGTTTCTTTTAATAATATTCTTTGTTACAATAATATTTTGCTTTTGTTTATTTTAATAATATTCATTGTTTTGACAAATAGTGATTGTGTTGTGCAGTTTCAAGTAGTCGGGTAAAATGGTTCTTTATTAGCATTTTTTTATAGGTACAAGTTCGAACGTTGTTTTTTATAATCGTCGAAGCTTATGATGAATTCGAGCGCTCAAACAATGAATGACAAAACCCTAAAAAAATCTGCCGAAATAACAAAAATATATGTTAATTTAATAAAAATGCACGTGTCGGTTATAGCTGTATCCAGTGGCCATGAGATTAATAATGAAAAATTTCAAATATATGCACACAATACAGGACGACTTTTTGTTGAAATGTATCCTTGGTATAATATGCCTACCACTTTGCACAAGTTTTTTATTCACGGACCCGAAATTGTGTCAAATGCCCTTTTACATATTGAACAATTATCAGAAGTTGGTGATGCTGCGGACAGAGATGGCCTGTCAGAAACAGTGACGTAAATGACATACATTTCCAACGTATAATACATACGTCAGAAACGTCGGAAACCCACTCAAAACCATTATGTTTTTTATAAAATAGCTATTTACATTTATCGATTTGGAAATAACGTATGCTTTCCTCAAATTCATATCGAATATCAAAAAATTTTTTTTTAAAAAAATTCAGAATTTTTATCATTTCTAGTATAGAATAGCCAGATATACAGTAAAAATAATATATGTTCTTGAAAATTACTGTATATGGTGATAATATTGAAATAAATGACGTTTACTACATTTTATACAGGTATATGACGTTTTCGACGTTTATACCTTTTGACAGTCGAAAACCTGAAAATTCGTCATACGGACCATCCCTGGCTGCGGATGATGACGATGTGGATGATTAACTTTAAGATGTATAAAATTCAATGTTTAAGTTATCATATTGTACCCCTTCCACTATATACCTACACTGATATTTGGCACTACTTAATAAAATTATACTCAAATATACTTAGAAAACATTTTTTTAAACTTATTTTAATGGTATTAACTGATCCAAGAAAACATGGTAAATGTGCAAGAATCCAAACTTTCTCATATTTTTTGTTGCAAACAGGAAAAAATTCGAAGCAAGTGTATTTAAGACGTTTATACCTACAAACAACAGGAATTGAAATAAAAAACGAAGTTTCACTAAACGGAAGGTATATACAAAGGATAAAAATAATTCCTTCATTAATTCTAGGAGACAATCTAGGTCTTAATACAATTCTTGGGTTTTCGGAGAGTTTTTCTAGCAATTTTTATTGCCGTTTGTGTAAACAACATCGTGATGCAAACAAAGTTGATATTAGTGAAAATGTAGATATGTTGAGAAACACTGATAATTACCAAAGAGATCTAGAAATAAACGATTTCAAAGTCACAGGTATTAAAGAAAACTCCGTGTGGAACAATTTATTTTCACGTCACGAACAATTGCAGTGTAGATGTCATGCACGACTTATTGGAAGGTGTCTGTCACTACGTCTTAATTTTTATTTTGAAACGTTTCATTGGGGACTAGAATTTTTTACCTTAGAGCAATTAAATTACAGAATGCTAACGTTTAATTATGGGCCAGTTTATGACAGAAATAAACCACCTATCTTAAATTCAGATTTTATGACGAAGACAAAATTGAAGCTTTCAGCTTCAGAGACTTTGACATTTGTTAACTGTCTTAATTTAATGGTTGGTGATTTAGTTCTGGATTGCGAAGAGTGGTCATTATATATAATTCTTAGACAAATTGTAGATATAGCTTGTACAGCTGATTCCATTCAAAAAACTTTTCATCAATTAGTGTGCGAGCACAATAGCTTATATATGAAACTAACAAAATCAAACTTGAAACCCAAGTTTCATAATTTGCTTCATTATGCCACCATAATGAAGAAAGTTGGACCTTTGAAGCACATTTCATCAATGAGGTTTGAGTCAGTACATAAGGTATTAAAAAATGCTTGCAACAGTTCCAACAATAGAATCAATATATTGAAGACAGTCTTTCTTAAATATCAGATCAAACTTTTCGATTTTTTAATAAACTATAAAGATATTTCGGACCATATTTGCTTAATTGATGATATGTTTTCATTGTGCATTCAAAGACTCTTAAATCACGGCTTCGATGATCACTACCATGCGTTTCTTATTGATTATGAAGAAGTTTTTCTTTCGGTTAACATAAAGTGCCTTGAATCTCCTTATGTAGGTTATGTTTGTGTATCCAAAGAAAATAAGCTATTTATGAATTGATTTGTCGTAAAATGTATATATGAATTAAATAAAATAAAAAATTATATTTTAAATTAATAATGCATTTTATTCACAGGTACTTCAATGCATGTAACCATATCATGTTATCCTGTATTATAATATGGTTGTACAGTATGGTTACACTGAACTATACCATGGTTATTTTGTAATCATAGTATGATTGTTTTTCTACCATAGTATTATAAACTAGGACCATACTATGATTATTAAGAACAATATTATGTTTATATGGGAACCACAGTATGGTTTCGCATGAACATGGTATG